ATAGCAGTGTAAAACAACTGCTGTATTAAACTCCCAAAGGAGAAAGCCACATTGTCATCCCCTTAGAAAACCTAGTTTCTCACTGCAGAAATGTTCTCATGAGTGTACTAATATTAATGCTACACTTTTATATGGTATCTTGCCAAATTTATGAATCAGTAAAACAGATAAGCACTCTCATAACAAAGTGAATGTAGGAACAATGTAGTCAGACTGCATTGTTGGATTTAATATTTAATATTTAGTAAAGACTTACCCAAGGTTAGAGATTTGTGTGTAGAACAGAAAATAATAGCCACTGTGTCTGCTGGTGTGAAGCCAGAACTCTTTCTAGGAAAAAATGTAAAAAAAATTAAACATCTCTTCTACCAAATGTTTGCTAACATACCCTTTATGGACATTCCTGTTTTCAGTTTTAGGTCAGCTTTATTGACTTCTCTACACCCACATATGCTTAACAGCATTTGCCTTTTTAAATTTAAGTCAGACATGCACAACTTTCCTTACTGCCTTGAGTTCTTTTGGAAGTGGTTGGTTATAAATACTTGTATAAAGTAAGTAAAAATAAAATAAATTTCCTTGAGAGCCACTCCAGGCTTTGTATGCCATGTCAAAAGTTACAATCTGAAAATGAGTTGGCCAAAACTCTTTTCAGAAAAGGCTTTCAAGAATTAATGGCATCCATTCCCCACCCCTACCAAAATGCCTCCATTTTTTGGCTCTATTCATTCTGGGGAAAATTTGGTGACCAAAAACGTGGCTTGGGGGAGGAGATCTCCACTTTAGCTAAATCATTTGTGTGTAGTTCCAGGCCTTTTTAAGACACTGAGACCTCCCAGGGGCAGAATGGTCACTTGAGCCTCCCTCACCTCCTTTGTTCACATTGCATCCTGTATCAACCTTTTGGTCTTTAGTTTGAAAAACAGTGCAAATATACATGTATACAATTTAAAAATCATTTTAGTGATACCTGACTTGACAGAACAGTATATCACAATCACTTTCTTTAAAAGTAAAAAACAAATATAGATTATTGATTTGAATTGCAAAGTATGGGACCCTTGCAAATGATAATAATTTTTATGTTTTATAAATTAATACAGACATGATGACAATGGCTTTTCACTGGCTTACTATAATGGCAAATACAGAAATAAGCTATTTTACCTAAAGCCAAATTTTATCTTTTCCTATCTCTTATTTTTTAAAAATATACTGCCTTAGAACTAGAAATCTTATATATTCTTTGACATTTTAGTAGGTCCCACTAAACTGATTGCCCCACTTTTGCTTTATTCTGATTATTTATTTTAATCTCCTTTTTCTTGCAGCAAATTCAGAGATGAGATCACAAAATGACATTTCTCTCAGAAAATCACTTTCTACAAAGAGAAGAGATAATAGCAAGTCTTAACTACAGCATTTTAAACCATATTTTTAATCAGGGATAGACTGGAGAAATTAAAAGTGCCAGAAAAAGGTGGAAACTATAAGATTTGGAAAATCGTCATCAGTTGCTTATTTTAAACTTAAAATAGTATGTATAGTTTTAGAATTATCCCATCCATCTGCTTTATCTTCTGGTTCTTCTAGTTCTGAGGGATAAGACATTTGGAGAACTTGCTGACTAACCTCTCACAAGAGCACCAGCATCTATCCTGTGGAGAATTCTGATTTCTGGAGGCTTAGCCTAATCTAGCCAGGAAGCTAAATAAATTCACAATTTCTATGTAAGCAAAACAGCACTTTTCCAGTTCAATCTGAAGTTTACCTAATATAATATTACACACTTCTATCTTGAACTTGTTTCATCCAGTTAGCCTGCAGTCATTTTTTCCATCTGAGTAAAATTGAGTTGTCTCTCCTTACTGATGATGTTTTATTGGGATATATGGTCTCCGCACAATGACTGGTTTTCTTTGCTTCTTTGTAATTTTTTTTCAAGCTGACACACATACCATGAAAAAGCCATGCAGGATTTCTTTCCTGATACAATATCAGTGTTTGGATTTTGCTGACAAAGTAAAATCTGTGAAGGACTTTATGCATTCACAGAAGAAGCAAGTGTTTTTTCAGCATATTCTCTGTACGATCATCTTAAATGTGACAGGTTTTTAAAAGTGATTCTTAGTTTATATGTTTCACTGTTCTCTTGCTGTAGCAGTCATCTGTGGGTAGATGCTGAATAGGAAGCATAGAAATCTTAAAGCAACTGAAACAATCTATTATTCTACGCAATCTTATTCAGGGAATATCCAGCACAATGCACCCCCACCCAAAAAAAACTGGTTCATGGTTTTTATGAGAACATGCAGCACCTGATACTACCCAGTTATACTCCTTGTATCATCATGTGCCTATCTTCTGCAATTTTTGATGTCAAGGTCATTGTGACAGAGTCCCTTGTAGATAAAACAATGGGGAGCTGATTAGCAAATAACAGAAAGCAAAACCTGGAGTCTTCAAAGATGTTGAGAACCCACTTAAGTTTATTTTTCCCAGTCCCTTGTACATTTAGGGACAGGAGCTGAAAACAAAAATAGATGCCTTGGAGCCTAAGCAATCCAAACTAAGAACTCAAAGTAATGTTTAAAATAAAATGCCTTACAAAAAGGGTAAACTCTTCTGGAGTAGCAATCTGGAGCTTGCTCTCAGGCTCACTCACAACAGTTACAATAAGCCTTCCAGCTCAGCTATGGGCGTATAAGCAGCTTCTTACCTGTGTAGTGTCTGGCTCCCTTTCCTCCCTCCTAAAGAAAACTTTCCAGCTTGAGGATTCAGCTCTCTTTCTGTTGGGCAATGAGTTGAATCAAGACCAGGCAGGGTAGAAGAATTTGTACAGGCCTGATAAGGTTATCCAGCAGGTGCTTATTCTATAGGTTTCTCTTTGCTCTCCTCTGGAATCTGCCAACTCCCTTAACCTTCTCTAACCCCCCCACACATGATTCTTCATCAGAGCTTTATGCTCAGCAGGCACTGAATCTGTAAGACTCATATTCCGCTGTTGTGGTTTATTCAAAAGGAGGCTGGTGTTGAAATAAATTGATGGTGATGATTTTGGATAGTGTTTCCCATTCATCAACTTTTTCTTCACATTTCTTCTCATTTAAAAAAACTTCTTAAAGGGATTTTTTCCCCACTATTTTGGATAACTGAAAGAGTTTATCGACAAAACAGAACACATATTCTGTTGAATACAATATACCATGTTCTGAATATGTCTCTAATATTTACACTCATGCAGAGATATCAAATAGTACACTAGCTCTGAGCAGGCTTCAAGTTTGAAGTTTTCCACCTAGGTGGAATTATCTTTTGCCAAATGCATACATGTGGCATTATTTCAATATTTTCTGAACCCCATATAGCAGGGACTCTCTTCACAAAAATAGATGTTTTGATAATATCTTACTTTTGACACTGATTTTAAATCCAGGAAGTTCTGGACCAGAAGCACATATCTGATAGATTTCAGAGCCTTCTCCTAAGTCTGCTGTTATGCCTTCTGAGACTGCCAATGAAACTTCACAGCATCTCTTTGCCTTTTTTCGCTGCTTCACTTGCACGTTTGGAGTACTAGTTATGTTTGTTCTTACCTAAACTTCTCTGAACTATTGGTTTCCTTCACTGATGGATGAGGTTGGTTGCTGCATACTATCTATGGTAAAGTCCCAGTACTGAAACAGTTGTTCTTGAGAGGCTTGCTTGTTCTATTGTCCGAGTCAGTAGAGACAATTGCTGGTCAATTATATGGCAAGCTAGAAGGGTAGCTGTTTTGCAGCAAACACAGCAAAAAAGACAATTTGTTTTTGTTGTTAAATTAATGGAATAATTTATTTCTCTTTTATTAGGATGGGAAAGAAAACAGTTGTTGGACATTTTTAAGTTTAAGGGGCTGTTTGCCCTTATAATAACTGTCTCCTAGTGGCTATCAGTCTTGAAAATTCAGCAGGTCATCTCAGATATTTAGAATTCAAATACAGGAATATTAGTAATAAAGTAAGACTGTTGAATACAACTTTAATACACATACACAGGAACATGAGATATTTCCTGTATGATTAAACACACATGGTTTATGGAATTTTTAAAATTCATGGCTATTTTTTAAAAAGATAATATAAATTAGGGTAACAATTATTCCAAAATATAACAGTGTCTACAGTAACCCTATCCATTATTTTGTCTGTTCTCTGAAGATTGCCTAAATAGCTGTTTTCCAGTCAGATGTTCCTTTTCCTAATATATAGCTTCAGCTGTTCTATATAGTTGTTTTCCAACAACTTTATACTTTTTATCCAGTATACTTTTTTTTTCAATAATGGGAATACAGTTGTTTGTTTTACTGTTGGGCTGGTTTTTTTCCCCTCTATTTGATTTTGTGCTGTAAGGCAACCATGTTTGATTTTATCTGGTTATAAACTTCCGATAAATGAACAACCCGACTTCGGGATTTTTTTTCCAGATGTATACCAAAGCATTTAGAACCACAAAAGAAAGAACAAAATTATCCTACATCTAGCTGTTGTGTTCAGTCATACAGAAAAATTTTATTGCCATTACCTACCTTGTAGAAAAGAAGAAAGTTAACATCATAAATCCCAGCTGCACTGAAAATACTAAAATGAAAATCAGTTTGATGAATGTTAATATGTAATACATTCAAATGCATGCTTTAAGAATATAGTCATCTTCCATATAGGAAAAAAGTTAATATTTTATAAAGTATTGACACAAATCTTTATTTCCCATATGGCTGCAAGTACACAGATCAGACAGCTGATATAATTCAACACCTCACTACACTCTTTCAGCACTTGAAATCTGGTAATTTGTACGTATCTTCAAAGAGATTCTCCATGCCAAATTTCACACATAGAAAACAAATCATGTTGTTTATATAAAAAACAGAATATCAGAATGCTAGTTTACCAATAACACTCAGCAATTGAACTGGAATTTTCCCTTTTACCTCTAGAAAGATGGCAATCTAGAAAATTTTGACATCATTTTGTTACTTTAAAGCGTATGTCTGTAATTATGGAATAGTATCTCTCCCTATTACCTGCTTAAGGATACAGGATGAACTTAAGTACACGTAGTCCCCAGGTTAAAAATGCCCAGTTTACAGATAACCCATAGTTAAGAACAGGGCCTATTGTAGCAAAATTTGAGTTTACACAATGATTTGAGTAAAATACACAATAGTTTGAGTTAATTACACAATACTACTTATACCCTATTATACAATAATACTGTTCCAGCTTACATACAAATTCTACTTAAGGACAGACCTTGGGAACGGAACTCATTCTTAAACTGGGGACTACCTGTACAATAGGAGTTAAATGTAAGACTTGCCACATTAGTAAATTATGGATATTAAGTTGAAGGCAATATTCCCCAACTTGGGTTCTTCCAGATGTGTGGACCTCAAAGCCCAGAATTCTCAATAACAGTCCAGACCCACATATCTGGAGAGAATCTAGGTTGGGGAAATTGATTTAGATGTCACAGAAGGATCCCCTGCATAAAAGCAGTATGCTTCAGAATGTCTTCTTGTGCATGATGCTATGGTCAGGTTCTTATAACAGTCCATTATCTATGTGATATTAGAATCTACAACTGCTGTTATGAACAGAAGGCAGCTCTTATAAATAAGCTCAGAAATTTGCAAGCCTTATTTTTTAATAGTACAACTCTTTCCAAAGTTATACTTTGTTGTAATATTTTATCTTATTTCAACTGTGGTTTTATGTTTTAAATCCTCCAGGGAAATGTTATAGATAATAAATCAAACTAACAAATAAGTAAATAAATAAGAGAGAAGGTGACTAGTAATGGCTATTCACAAAAATCTTGGTGGATTATTGTTATATAAAATGGCACTATTTCTGTAGAGCACAATAATACATTATTTTAACTGAAGCCAGTCCATTCTACTAAGGTATTATTAATTTATATAAAGGCTCAGATTCACATTAGGAAATTAAAAAAAAATCCATAAACCTGAAAATGCAGTCAGAGACAAAGTGCTAAATAGATTGCTATTCTACTTCTAAACAGTTCGTTAATTGTTTTGTTCTATACTGGTTTTTGACTGAAACAACTTTTGAATAGATTGCTAAAGGCATGGTTGTATACATATTGTTCAGCACACCTAAGACAATGGCCACAATACAAAGAAACTCAGTACAGTATATACTGTCCAGAATACTTTGGCCTGGAATAGGAATATACTGGAATAGGAATACACAGCTCTTTGAAAAATGCCCAAAGCATAAATAGTACTTACTTATAAAAACTATTATGACTAGGCTAAATTTATCAAGATCAATATTTGGGTTAGAGAAAGTATCACAGAACGTTGTATAGATAATCATCAAAAGCACACAACTGCTGATGGCACCAAATGGAGGTTTCTTTCTCTCAAGCCATTCCTTGATGTATCTTCGGACAATCTGAAATGCAAGGAAAAGAACCAACAGGTTGCCTCTTTTCAACACACACAGGGAGCCAAGTTGGGTATCATAAAATGAATCTGACATTGGAAAGTCATAAAGAGAACAGAATAAATAGGATGACAGCCACAGTGTATTTCAAAGCTTCCCTGCCACATAACACTTCTTCTGGGGAATTTAACATTTGTAGTGCAACTTCCATTGGGCATCCATAATGAGAATATATTTTCAAGTACATTCAAATCTATCCTTAATCATGCCAAATGTTCTTTGCTAGCTGTCACTGAGACATACCCATTAAGCCTCCCCAAAGTTTATCTCCTATGCTAATACAAATGGATATATGTAATTATCATAGTCCCCATTGAATCAACAGACAATACCAAGTATAACTTTGGGAATCTTAAAAATCTGACATCCTCAGGAATTCCATGAGAGCAGATAATCAAAAGTGATCCATGGAACATTTAAATATTTAAATAGCTAGTAATTCACCAGAAGTTTTAATTAAATTATAACTCATGCTTGAAAAACAAAAGTGCATGCATTTTGGGAGCTTAAATAATTCAGTGTTTGAAGATCTAGAGTTTTCTGAATCCAAAAACAAATTCCAGTTGTATATTCCTGCAGTATCAGATTAACAAAAGGTAAATAAATCTACAGTATTTAATGTAATTGCTCACATTCAAGACTGGGAAAATAAAATAAAATTAGTTTTTCAATCAGTTCTGATATTTATTATAGTAGCTACAACAGAAAGCTTCTGCAAGTAGACTGATCATCATGACAGATACCATGTTTTGATATAATTAATCACAAAATCTTTCTCAATTACTTGAATGGATAGTTACTTATGAAGTAATTTCAAAAACAAATCCCAATAGGATTGTTCATTTCAGTTTCATTGTTTATATTGTTTAACATCAATGTACAATCTTGTATGCAGTCAATCAAGAGGATATAATTTGTATGAAGTCAGTCAAGAGGTGATAAATCAGTCAAGAGGCTGTATAATTATCTTGCTAAGAATGATATTTAACTTTCTTTTTTTACTATTATTAAGGGACAATGAACTAAATAAAGGTTAAAAGTTAATAGAAATAAAAGAGATGCTGTAAGTAAAGACATATATACTGTATATCTGAAAACATGCTAATGTCTGATGGGGTCTTATTGAAGCTTTAGGAGAAGACTTGAGCTTGGGGATTCTTCTGGATTGAGGGCATTGTTCTAAACATATTGAGATGGCTATCTGCATTACTTCCTAGCAGCAAGTAATTCAATTACTTGAATACATTTCTAGCTTGATTACTCTATGTCCAGTTGGCAGTGAAGAAAATTCATAAACAACATCTAGTCCAGAATATCACCACCTAATTCTTATGTGGAGCAAATCACAAGATATATGAGCTATCTATATGATTTAGACAAGAGATAACTAAAGCTCTATATTAGCTTATTCCAATATTCCAGGTGTTGAGCTGGTATCTTCTCGTAAAGAACACAACAGACTTGAATGAAATGATGAAAGCTGTGACCTGAATTAATCTTTTGGTAATCATATTACAAGACTTCTCAAGACATGTTTAAACAGAGTGTACTTGAGAAATAACATTACATGTTCACACTAAATGGGTACTAGATATGTCATATTACCACCTCATAACTATAATATTAATGTTAACTACCATGAGAAAAAATCAAATTATATAATCTAAATGAGAAAATCCTAGAATAAAATCAAACAATTCTATCAGATTTTTAAAAAGAATCTTAACTGACAAATTCACTCTCAAAGATCAAAATATTTTTACAGCCTGTTTGGCCAAAGCACTAAATAAATTCATTGCAAATTATATTAATTTGGATCAAGAAGGATTTACTAAAAGTAGATAAATAGAGATCCTATTAGAACAATTTTAAGTTATATTTTCATGGTAAATGAGTTCAGAATCCATTGGTTATTTTAGCCCTCGATATTTTTAAAGTTTTGGTCAAGAGACCAACTATCTGTTTATACTGGTAGGGAAATATCAAATATGAAAAAAGTTAATTCATTCAACAGTTATATAGTAAATCTCTAGCTTCCATGCATGCAATTCAAAATATTTCACAGTAAGTACATCCATACACTTTCACCATAATGGTTCACAGTAGCTGGAACCTGTTAACTCCCATGTTATTGGTAAACAGCACATCAAAGGCTTGAAAGTCAACCCTTGTAAATCCATTTTAAAGTCAATTACATAAACTTGAAAAAGGTGGCAATCTTGCCTATCTCCTTCCATTTCACTGTTTTTATTAATTATAGCCCATCATTTTAGTGAGGAAATATTTGGAGTGAACGAAAGGGCAAAGCACAATTGAGTTATGTATCGTAAGGAAATTGTTTTTCCAATGTCAAACCTCCCTGGTTTAATTTGATACAAATGTGTTCCTTTTCCTGCTCCCAATATAATCCAAGTTATTAAAAGGCATCTTACTAATTTTGAAAAAAAACAATATAAGATATCAATGTTAACAAAAAGGTTAGCATCCAAACTCTATCCTTTTGTTTTTCTTAAATATAAGATTGTGCCATGGGATGGATTAAAATTAGTCTGGGGAAAATCACCTACAGTCACTGAAGAAGGGGATTGGAATAAGATGTGGGTTTCCAAGCCTATATTCTTATTCTTTGGACAAATTAAATAAAATTATATCAGAATAATTTATAGATGATACAGGAGTCAAGTGAAACTGACATATATAATTAAAGTAAATTATGCTCTGCTTGGAATAACTACAATCAGAAAGGTACATATTTCCTTCTGTGGTGGATATGCCCAAGGAACAGAAAATTCTGGGGTTTGGTATTTAGAGATACGGGTAAAATCATCAGTCAGGTAATCAAACCGGACCCACAATTAAGTTTGTTAGGAATATTCATTGAAAAAAAGAAAGTAAAATTTAAAGAGTTTGGGATTTATATGTTGATAACAGCAAGAATGGTAAAAATGTATAAGTAGGGAATTTTATCTTTGAATGAGTTATATAATAAGATTTAGAGTCTATTGCAGCTGCAGAAAAACTAACTTATTCGATATATTATCAAACAGGACAATCCATATCTTTTTAAGATACAGCAAGGCTTTATATTTTTCATCAACCCAAATATCCATTGACAAAGAACTGTCTGCTTGTTACACTCATACAAGGAAAGATATACTGTATGTATTTACAAAAGTTCTAAAGTCAGTAAGTAATTATTTAGCTTAGAAATATTTATAATTATAATATCCTGAAATGGATGAAATTCAGAAGGCATGAACATACAGTATTTGTATGCTGTGAAACCATTTTATGTTATCCTATGTTTAGTTAATAAATATTCATAAGAAAACAACAGACCTTCCATGAATAGTGATTTATTTTGAGTGACATTAAAGTTTATGCATAATGGGCATAAACATTTTTTCTTAACGATACAGCACTGAAAACTAACTTTCTATGAAAACTAAAGTTTCAATGTCTAAGGATTAATTGCAAACAATATGTTCGTCATTATTTCTGAGAAAGTTTGCTCTGTGGGCACAAAGCAGGGACAATAAAACTTTTTTAGAAGCACACATATATAAATTGTTAAAGACTATGCATGTGATTTGACACTGAGGAAGCCAAATTCAAGTTTCAGGAGCTATAGGTATTCATTGCACTGAACACCTCTTATCCCTTAGTAATGTCATTCAAAAGTCAACTTTTATAAGACATTCAAGCAGAGTTACTCTCCTGTAATTTAAGACAATTAATTGTCCTGCATTCACAGATGATAGCGAAAAGATGGCCTTCTGTGTATCAATCCTTGGCATACCTGTATACTATTATACCTCCATCATTCCAGGTTTTCTCAAGTCATAATCATAAACAGCTGTAATGCCTTGCTCTGACTTTGTTCTAATCTAAATCCTTCTTAAAGTGGAATGCTCAGAATTAAGCTTAGTACTTGAAATGGGATCTAACCTGTGCAAATACAGTGGAATATTTTCCACAAAGTAATAATGATACATTTTATGTATCTATGTTTATAGATATTCCTTTTTATTATTACACCTTTTTATTATTATACTTTTTTTTACAAAAAGAAAAGCCACTTGATTTTTTTCAAGATAACTCTCAGCATTATGGTCAAACAGCAGATAACTTGTATCACTTAATTTGTGATTGTGACATTGGCACCATACAGGTAGTGCTTGACTTATGACCATTTGTTTAACAACCATTTGAAGTTATGATGGTGCTGAAAAAGTGACTTACAATGTTCTTGCACTTATGACCATCGCAGAGTCCCTGTGGTCATGTGATAAAAATTTGAGCACCTCACAACTGGCATGTATTTATGACAGTTGCAGTGCCCTGGGGTCATGTGATCACCATTTGTGACCTTTCCAGGGGGCTTCTGACAAGCAAAGTCAATGAGGGAAGCCAGGGCAAAAAAGGTTGTAAAATCTGGTGCGACTCACTTAATGACTGCATTACTTAGCGACAGAAGTTCCAATCCCAATTGTGGTCATAAGTTGGGGACTACCTGTAATGATTCAAAACAGGAATTTGCTTCTCTTACATTTTCCAATGTATCACATAGCTTAAGTGGTGCTTAGGGTTAAATCCTCTCTTCTTTGTTGTTTACCTTGTCCTTTTGATAAACTTTTATTCAGGAGAATTTGTATTCTATTGATTTTTTTCCTGTTTTGGTTATCTAACTGGTTTTGGTTATCTAACATTTTTCAAGGTATTTAAAGTTTTCCAAAATAAGCTGCAATCTCAGTTTCTACACATTAGAACTTTTCTTAGAGCAGCTGGTGGTCAATACATTGGTTTATGTATTCTACAAGAAGAACTTAATGTTATGGCCTGATCTGAGGAAGATGGCCAGACAATCTTGCCAAGACCTCTACAATTGCTTAAATGCCTAACACAAGACAGTCCCGACTAGGCTCAGGTTTCACCCCAAGCCTCTTATT